AATTTCGACCAAACATTACCATTAAATTCATGGATTTCTTTATGCAATAAGTTTGCAAAATGTAGTGATTTTCAGAAAACGTTGTCATTAAAGTTACCCTTTCTATCAGATATGCAGACATTTAACTGTTGGGTCTTTAGCTGCAAATACAGACAAATGAGATAAAAGTAAACCGTTTGATAGATAACATGAATTCCCATATAATAGATAACAATTGTATTAAATATAAACCACGGAATCGCTATTAATATCATTTCCAATACATTATTCGCATTGAATATGAGAAGTGAATTGAGAATAGCGCTGACTATAGGATATGTTGCCAACAATTTGGCCGATATATTGAAAATAAATACCGTTTTTCTCAATAAATACTGAATATCTCTAACATTATTCAAGCAAATACTTCGAGGCGATGACAGACCAGACATCATATCAAACGGTCTCATATATAAAGGATTATCACATTTGAAATAATGGTAATAATTAGCAATTTGTGATAATAATATCAAACCGATGCCCACCATCTGGAATATTACCAGATTCAAGTTTGTCATCAAATAATAGGTCCAATCGCCGAGCATTAGTGAATTGTGGCCATTCCTGGCCATTAGTAACACAGCAATACATCTGATCCCATAGATTAAACTCATGGTAAAAACAATGAACGGGTGATGTATTGTCGAGCGTTTGTTCCGTCCATATCTATACAAAGAGATGCCATATCTGTACAGATGAGTGCCCGCCGAAGGGATAATCATATATTGTGGTAAACTATTTGAGAGTTTTATTTTATTCATTGTTTTTGATTAGTTTTACATAGATTTTATTGACGGTAATACAAATGCAAATCAAATGTTCAAATATAGTGCTGAGTTTGCAATGTCTTAATTATCACGTTATACTGTATAATAAATACATATTTAGTACATATGATATGTATTGTCCGTTAAATTAAGCATTATTTGCAAAAATTGTCACATTTTGTGCAAAACAAATGAATGAAACAAAAGTTATTTTCTAAATAATGTGCTAAATATCATGCAATCGTGAACTTATAATACAGTAATTAATTATTAGTGTAAATTGAATGTAGTGTACTTGAATTGGACTTTCAATTAATACCTACTTTTGGTTATAATTTCTATATATACAATTGATCAAGGATAAATACTAAATTACAGTAAATCAATTGTAAGTCAAACAAAATATGGGATCATGTAAAATGTTTTATAATATTTTACATTTAATTTACAGCCAAATCATATTATGTGTTGTTTTTATAAATAGAAACTTCAATAATTTTAAGCATAAATACAATTACAATGACCAAGATCTGTAAAATAAAAATATGTTTGTTATTTATACTCATATATTTTATATAGTTTCTAATTTTAATTAAATAATTAGTTACCTCGTAAAAGTTTCGATAATTTATAATGAAAAATTTATAGCAATAAAACCCAATTTTCTTTTTACTCAATTTCTCGACCATTGAAATCATCTGAAAATATATAGAAAATCAAATGAAATTACAAGTACACATATTAATTATAATTAAGGTTATTTTGTTCATACAATACACAGTATGTTACAAACCTTAAGCCTGAATTCTGGTCGAGTTATATATTTTGTGTATAAAATTTTCAAAAATAGTTTATACGATCGGTTTGTCTGAACATTGATATCAGAAGTAGTGTTGAGAATAAGAATTAATATTAGAGACCAAAGAATCGATATATAAATAAAAACTATTTTCATAATGATATTAATGTCGGCGAATAAACACATGAATAGACTTAAATTATTGACTCCAATACTACATGAAATTAATATAAATATATATTTGGACCAAACATTTGCATTTAAACCACTGATCTCTCCGTGAATTTTATCGGATAATCTCATATTTGTTTTCAATTCAAATAATTTGAAATTTTTAAGCTTTGCGTTCAGACACTGTATCTTAAGTTTCAAATACAAACCAATGATATAAAAGTATATCATTTGATGGATTACATGAATACCCATATAATATGTGACAAATATATTCAACATAAGCCACGGAATGGCAAATATGATAAAATCCATTACATTTGAGGTTCTCATGAGATACGGTATGAATGCAATTATAAGAGTAAATGGAAAACTATTTATCATTTGTGATGACATTTTGAACAATAGTTTCGCTCTTTTCAGCAATAATTTAACAGATATTTCGTCTGTGAGACCAATACTGACCGGCGATGAGATACCGGACATCATTTTAAACGAGTTCAAAAACACTGGTTTAGACATCTTATTATAATCCATATAATGAGCCAATTGTGAGCTTAATATCACAGTAATAGCTAATAAGCGAAAAAGGTTTATGTGATATTTGGCACCAAAAAAGTGGCCCCAATCGCCGTACATATAGTTTAGTCGGTCATCGCTTTCGTCTAAAATTAGTGAAATCAAATCACGTGACCAAAGGATTAGACTTAATGTACGGATTAGTATTGGATTATGAATTATAGACCGCTTTTTAGTACGCCGTACATATAGTTTAGTCGGTCATCGCTTTCGTCTAAAATTAGTGAAATCAAATCACGTGACCAAAGGATTAGACTTAATGTACGGATTAGTATTGGATTATGAATTATAGACCGCTTTTTAGTTCCGTATTTAAACGAAGAAATACCATATCTGTAGAGATGTGTTCCCGCAGTCGGTATTGTTTCCGATTGCGGCAAACGTTTTGCTATATTTATGGCTTTCATTGTATTAAATAATTTAAATTACAATTGCTTTTTGTTCAACCGATAACTTTTGAGTGAATAAACAAATATTTTATTTATTTTAAACCATTATTAGGAAACAATTTTATTCAAAAATTAAATCATCAAAAATATAATTATGGTATAATTCAATCGTGATATTATTTTGATCGTAAGTAAATTAAGCTTATTTTATACAAATATTTCAAATTAAGCGTAGGATTTGATCATTAAGTAATAATTAAGGCTTCGAAATTCCGGGAATTCCCGAATAAAATAGTTAACAAGATCATCGGGAATTATATACCATTAGATTTAGGGGTTATAATAGACTTAAAATATATAAGTTTTATTTTCCCAATTTTTCCCGATTTTGGCATATTTTGAGAAAATTCCCGATTTTAGCATATTTTTGAGAAAATTCCCGAAAAGTCATATTTTATGATAAATATTCCCAAAATTACACATTTTTTGGATAAAATTATTTGTTTTATAGCTATTTCATCAAAATTCTTAATAAAATGCTAAACTGAATATAACTATATATAAAGTAATGTCAAAGCCATTCAAAGAATTTCTTGAAGAGTTCACTCAAAGAGTAGTTCCACACCATAGTATACTTCGTAACAAACAAAAATTACTCTATGATAACATTATGGTTAAAATAAGAGAAGCTGTAAGTGATAATAATGTGATTTAAATGCATAATTATTGCGTTAAACTTGAATAAAAACATAATTCCCGAATTTTCCCGATTTTGACTTTTTTATTCCCGAATTTGGATGTTTTTACTCCCGGAAAATCGAAGCTTTAGTTATTTAACATTTCTTACATTTGTTAGAATCTCTTCAGCTCTTCTCGACATCAATTGATTCTTGTATTCAAAATATTTTAAAAACTATAGATTTTTGTATCAAATGATAGTTTAAAGTTCAATCAATATAATTAATCTATTTTCTAAGTTTGCAACACACAGTATGCATACAATAGTCTAAATAAAACATTACATTTAGAGCAAAACGATAAAAGTGCTAATCGTTAATCCAATAGGATTAAGTTAAGATTGATGGCCCAGTTTGTTGACCTCATCCGGAAGTGAATGAATTATTGGCAAATAATTTATTACCTTTTTTAACATTTTAATATTTTATTCGTTGTTTTATCATTAAAATACTGATATTACTTATAATGTGTTGAGTGAGTAGATTCGCGAGCGGTCACCAGATATTGAATCCGAAGTATCGGTCAATAAACAGTACAATTCGTACACAATTAACAAAACAATAACTTTATTACAAATATTAATTAGAGAGAGAAATGAGAGAAATGCCTTCGAAGAGGACTTAGGAATGACTGCGAATATACATTGAAAAGAGCGAGTCTTAAATAGGCATAATTGACATTAAGGTGATTAACAGGTAATGAGTAGAATATACTCATATCGTATGATTATATGGTGATCGAAGGGTGTGCTGAATATGATGAGAGCCCATCATATTCATGATGACTACTCACTGGAAAAGTACCAGGAGTGATATATTCACATTCACGACAAATGAAAATTATGTCTAAAATGTAGAAAATATATGAAATAATGTGATAAACAGTATATAGTATTACTAAAACTAATTTACTGACATTTTATTAATTGTACAAAATTCAATAATTTTATCATGTGTAATTACTAATTAGTAAAGACTGAACTTATATAACATGCTTAATATTCAATATAATATTGACTTAAAATGTCTTAAATATTTAATTATATTTACTAACAATTTTTCATATATCTATTGTTTGTTAAGTATAATTAACATTAAATCCATATATTGCATTGTTGTACATATTTATTGGCATGATTAAAGTCTCGATTTTTTATTTAATGTAGTTTTAAATAAATTTTATAAATATTTTAAAGTTTTTGAAGTTATAGTATGTTTATATGGGATAAAAACCGGGCTTATTGTGGCCGTCATAATAGGATTCAATTAAACTTATAATTATATCAAATATAATTTATTTTTACATCTATTTTTACTAATAATGCATTTTGTTTGTTTAATTTATATTTTTTATAGATTTTTTAAACAAAAATATGAAATTTATCATTATTTGCCGCATTTTTTGACAATATTTCAAAATATGTGACTACCTCCTCAAATATTGATTTATATTTAATTATGTAAAAATAACTTTTGCCAAAATGATCCTCAGTATATGATTCGGATAGATTTTTAATCAAACCTTAGCTATATATTATCCCTAAAAATATGTAGTTATGTATTTTAGAAGTCTCTACTAATTAGTTATGGTTTTATACAATTAATTTCCAATCAACACAGCTGTGTTTACAAACGCATCCGGGGCTTAATTTCCTCCACCTTCTCATCGCCCATAAGATTCCTAACGATAGCGAGAGCCCAGTCGAAGGCCGTTCCCGGGGCTTGACTTGTGATGAGTTGGCCGTCGATCACAACCCTATCCTCACTGTATTCATAGTCCTGTTTGAGGAGCTCTGCTCTGTAGGGGTGGGAAGTGATCCGCTTTTTAAGACCAATGCCGTGGGCTTTGAGGGCCAGAGGGCCCGCGCATATGGCAGCTATGAGGGCACCCGAGGCCTCGTGTCGGCGCAATATATCGCCCAACACAGCACTCGCACACATGCCCTCCGATCCCGGGAAACCTCCCGGCAATACAATCGCGTCAAACGTCTGGTCCCGCACTGACTCCAGCCCGCAGTCCGGCGCTATCGACACCTCGAGTATGCATTTGTGCGGCACATTACCCGCCAGTCCGGCCATTGTTACCCCGATCTGTTTGTGTATAAGAATTATGTTTTATTGTCATGGTGATTTGATGTGAAATATGGTTATTTCTATGATACTTACGCCCCCTCTCCTCAACACCGACGTCGCGATAACCACTTCCATCTCTTCACATCCCGGCGCCAACACTAACAACGCTTTCGGTGCCATTTTTATCACGTTCACAATTTTTGACATAAATGGTTGTAAAATAATAGTTATACTGTATAACACTTTTTGGCCAGTTTTATATTCTGGGTTAAAATATGCCACTAATGCTTTATGTTATCGGCAACAATACACGTAAATAGATTTTTAGTTTAAAACGTGTATTTTGTGTACTTGTATTATTGTATAACTTTACACCATGTTTATTTTTTGTACCAAACCAGCATTTTAATTTGTAATAATGATAAGCACAAAGCAAGTTACACAATGCACTAATACTTAATGGTGTATAAATATCTGTTGTATGAATGAAAACTAGTTTAAAAGTATCGTACAAACTGTTTGCCAAGGTTATTGATTAAGTATTGTTATCTAATATTGATTAGCAATGATTATACAATAGCTCTACTAATATACACTGTATAATTGCTTAAATAAATAAGAGGCCTTTTATCAAGTTTTATATTTAAATATTTGATAATTGAGGCGTTAGTGTTATTATTAACTTAAAAATAAAATCATTCATGTTTTGAATTTGCAATGTTTTGGGAGTAAATGAGTTATAATGAAAACATTATTCAATCATAATTAGTATTTTTAATAGTTTTTACAGATATCTAAATAAATGTTTTGTCTTTTAACGACATTTCAATCACTTTAAGCAAAATGCAGGAAAAGAAACCAATTATCTGTCATAAAAATAATAACCATGTTAAAATATAGCGATCAAAATTTAANAATGTTTTGTCTTTTAACGACATTTCAATCACTTTAAGCAAAATGCAGGAAAAGAAACCAATTATCTGTCATAAAAATAATAACCATGTTAAAATATAGCGATCAAAATTTAATAATGGTAGAATTACTAACCTCATAGCACCTAGAATCATTTATAGTAAACAATTTCCAGCATGAAAAACCCACATCTCTATGCGATAGTCTCTCCAAAAACATCATAAACTGATGTTTAAAAAACAATTATTAAATAAA